GACGAGCTTCCTCCCAGTCTTTTCATGATGGGGGATGATAACCTCGTGAGCTGTTTTAATACCTAACTACGCCACATTTGGACGCAAGAGCGCATTCCTTCATCTTGGGGCGAATCACTGATCGTTCCCCTCTTCAAGAAAGGGTCTCGCAACGACGGCGAAACAATCGCGGTATAAGTTTGATCCTGATCGTCACCAAAGCGCTAGCCTCCGTCATACTTCGGCGTCTGACTCCTTTAAGGCAGACCAACATCCGTGAACAGCAAGCCGGATTCCGGCCTGGCCTTGGATGTATTGATCAAACTTTTACGTTGCGACGGGTCCTTGAACTGTGTCACGCCCACTGTCGACCAAGGATCGCAATGTTTCTTGACCTGAAAGGGGCGTTTGATTCAGTTGATCGCGAAGCTCTAATGGGTTTCCTTCTTCAAAAAGGAATGCCCCAGAAGTACGTTAACTTACCGAGGTCACTGTACTCACATACCGCTGGTCGTGTGGGGGCCTATGATGAACTAAGTAAGCCGTCTGTCACCAGCAGCGGTGTTCGTCAAGGGTGCTCCCTTTCACAGTTCTTGTTCAATTTCGTCCTAGATGAGATACTGAAGGACGCACTTAATGGTCTCCAAAACGTAAGAATTGAATGGAAAGCTGGAGGAAAACTGTGAGATTTGGAGTACGCCGGTGACATCCTCTGTCTGTTTGAATGTTTGGAAGACGCGCAAAGCGCACTTGATACACTAACAAGTGCTATTGCCACATTCGATATGTGCTTCGCATCTCCAAAGTGCAAAGTGATGCAGCAAGACTGGGTGTCGCCCAACCCCGCTCTGAAACTAAGTGGCCAGTAATTAATTGTGGTGAATCACTTTTCATACTAAGTTGTGTAACCAATAACGGAAGCGCAGCAAAGGAGATATCCGCTCTCATTTCCGAAGCTCGAGCAGCATACGCAGGACTGAAACACTTTGGGCGCATACACGACGTTTCACCGAAGCTGAACGGTTGTGTATACTGCGCTAGCGTTCGTTCAGTTCTGCTTTATGGTTGTGATNACTTGAGAGTAAAAGATATCCATCGGCTAGAGGTTTCCGACTATCGGTGTTTACGTAGTTTAGCCCACATGGGATGGGTCGAAATGGTTAGTGACCTGGAGGTAAACCGTCGTGGGTTCGGAAGTCTTCCAGGCGTAGACCTCCTAGCAAGTCGAATTCAGATTAGTAGGCTTCGCGGTCTAGGGCACGTATTGCGTATGCCCAGCTACCGTTTACCGCATCGCGCCTTATTCGCCGTAGCCGCTCCGGGCTGGGGGAAACCACGTGGAGGCCAACAGATGGCGTGGAAACGAGGCATAAATAAATGCACAGAACCCTCAGATAGAGTAGGTGTCACGCGCCTTCCAGGTTGTGGTCCGAAAGACTCCGCAACTGGTTGGTTGGACACATTGAAAGATTAGCAGCGAACCGACGGTAGTGGCGTTCTTGTTGTCATTTTTTATCAGGCCAGAATACTTGAAACGGTAGGTGTGCAGAGTTCGATTGTGCACTCTGTGTTGACCATAGTGGCTCTCCTTCTTCCTCTTCCCTCAAAGTAGGTCCAATCCCTGTCCACCTTAAATTTTACCACTAACCTTGTATGCATTGCTAGTTTGGCAGCNGGCAGCGATCAGTTCGCTTCAGTGTATTACGCTGTACAATGATGATAATGATGATGATGATGTGGTCGTTGCACAAAGACGTCGGAACCATCTGTCGAACTTTCAACTCTAAGTTCACAGATTCAGCGACCGTGAAGTGTATCCATGGCTGTTCATTCGTGGCGGACGGTGAACGATGCGCTGAAGTTGTTGGGTGTTTAACATTAAGGGTTCCGGAAACCACCAAGTGCTTCGCGGTTCGGGTACGGAGGATAGGGTACACCAAAGCATGCAATACTTTTAAGTTTCAACGAAATAGACATGCATTGATTTTCGCCAACCTTTACACAACTACTTTGACAGCAAGACAACGGAACAATATGTTTCCCAAAGGAGTGGAGTCCATATGAGAACACCAATGCGCAGCAGTCCCTGGTGTTTCCGAGTTCACATGCAATTAACGAGGAGCAGATTTAACAGATAAAATGGTCTATGAATTTGATGAGCGTTGTTGAATGATTGATTATTTCCAATTTGCATTCGGTTCGCTAACTAGGTCAATTATCATCCCCATTTTTGATTCCATGACCCCTGTTTTATGCAGTGCGTACCGGACGAGGATGAGGCCGACGAGCCTGATCCGCCTGCTGTGGAGCAGAATTCCGTACTGCCTCAACCAGGACCATCATCCACAAGACCACCTCAGAGCGTGTTTGAACCGGATTGGAGTGACTGACTCGTATTGAGTGTGGTTCAAAGGCATTTACTTCTCATTCACATCTGCCCCTCTGGTTGCATTACCAGTTGCATTTACGGCTCCATTCCTATTTTTGCGATAAAATATTTTTATTGAAGAAGTCGTGCAGAAATTGTTCTTTCACTTCATTGGGATGTTCTTTTTGCGAACAGTGCTGAGGGAAATAAGAGTGGGAAGCTTGGCCACCCCGAAAATTTGCTCGTGCTTTTAAAAAATCTATGCTCAGCTCACGGGGAGAACGCAAGTGTACTAACTGTCCAAAAACCGGGATGTCTCATCAGCTGTTTCATTATATTGAAACCTTATTCGATGTCAAGTATGTGGTTATGTGTATTTGCTTTTTAAACGGCATCAAGTGTTTCTAGGGTTTCCTGAGGTTTGCTCGATTTAGAAGTACGAAAATGAAAACTTTGCACGGCCTCCCCTTTTTGTCCTCATTCTGCGGACACCGCGTTTTGTGCTCTGTCTGTACCGCATCAAGTTGCTCTGCTACGAGGACATATTGTAACGAGTAGGCGAGTTGGCTGGCAAAGCGTTTATTGATCCAATTCCAAAAACAACTGGTGTATGCGTTCAATCATATACAATCGATTCTTAACCGCGCGGCAGGCTGATGCCTCATTCTATTGGTCAATTCTGTTGGTTATGGACCGCACTTGGCACGTACATTGCCTCTTCTTCCCTGTGCCGTTCCGATTGGTTTGACCCAATCGTGGTGCGAGATTCGTTGATCGACAGCTCCGAAGTTGTGGTAGTCGGTCGATATNGGCTGCAATTGTCGATCCGTTCGTTTCGAGTGATAGTCGACATTGTCTCGCGAAGTACTTCCAGCCGCTACATCTGCGCATCTGTTTAAATGGACCCTATTTTTGATCCGTTCGTTAACCGGGGCTCTCTTTGTACCACCTTCCATCACAATAATACTGTAGTTGATTCTCATTATAGATACACATATCTACCACCGTTTTCGGCCTAAAAGATTTTGGTATCTCCTCCCACAAGCGGGAACGTTGTTAGGAGGTAAGTTGGTTGCTAATCTCTTCTTTCTTACTTTTGAAGCCACAGTGCTTACAAGCTCCTTCTCTTGAGGTGGAAATTTCATTCCCATACTTTTCACATCTACCAACCAGGTTTCATTGCAACCATAGATTTTTCCGTCGCATAGTTTTCTTTCTCATCCTCCTCGTCACTTATTCTGTTTTTTTTTAACTGTTTACTGGAAGCCTATGTGCCCAGTGAAACAGTTTGTTTAGTGTGATAGGATCGCTCATCCAGTGAATGGCCCTCTCACAAGATGAAACAAGGTCGCATACAAGTCTCGGCGAAATTCAGAAGGTAAAGATGCTCATCTCTGATCAAACAAGAAGTGAAGTGTTTGAGTACGTGTTTCGTCAAACAAGTCCAGTCAGCCAAGAATCTATAATTTCTGTGGTACGGCAGAGGGCTTTCATACGATCAGACTATTGAAACCTGACCAGTGTAAATTACCAGAAACATATTTTCAGTTGTCCTTTCGATGAATATCCCCCTATTTTCACCACATGTTGAAGTTGTTGTTGGACCTTTCTCTGCAGCAAACGTGGTTAAAATTCTTCGGTAACCTAAATCGTTCTCCACTGTTGGCCTTGTTGGCCTCATATCTTCGAATATCAGGCATTGTACGTGCCAAGCAAATAGGGTCTCCGATTCCTGATAGCTTTGACGATGGCATTGGCTTCTTTCTCTACACAGGAATGATGTCTTTCGCTTTGAATGTTAGGAAGAAGAAGAAGGGAAGCGGTCTACGGTTCTTCGAGAGGGTGACCGATATAGTTATATCCGACCGATGGTGTCTTCGGATCAATAGTGGTAATATCCGCATGTTCAGGTCAGTTTGTGAGCGTTTCAACGAACAAGCTGACGTCCTACGGTCAGGGAATGATATGATTATATTATCCGAGATTCTAGGTAACCAGTGCTAATAATATGAGAATAAATCGATTACCTGTCTTTGTAAGGTCGAAGTTCTCAGGGTGGTTTCAACCGTTCAGGGTTCAGTCTCACAAAGCCGTGTGAGACTTCTCTAGCACCGGTGATGTACTTACTTTTGTTCGTTCAGAGTAAGCCCATATTTATTCACGGTGTTGAAAAAATTAGATAGATTTTTGTCTGGATCTTCTTTATTCATTCCGCATACGTCCGTATTTTCAATGTAGGCGAATGTAGTTGAATGAGTTCATCGATTTCTTTCCCGAAGCAAGTAACACCGTTAGTCACTCCCGACGGTATTCAACATAGCTGATAAAGCTTACCTCAGGCTTCAAGGACAGTGAACGATCGAACTCTTTCTTCTAGAGTAGTTTGGTAGTATGCACTCCGTAAATCTAAGGCATTGAAGATAGTATGTAGTGACATTTTGGGTAACATTTCATCTGTTCGCAACAGTAGGTATGCGCCCAGCAGTGTGTAACGATTAACAGTTTGAATGTAATCGACTACCATGCGTCTTTTATCCCTGTCATTTGCAAGCAGCTGTGCGCGTCAGGGTGAAGTTGAAGCTTCGATGATGCGGTTGTTGAATAATAAAATGTTCATCGTCGTAAGTGAGACGCTGCAATTTGGTTGTAACGGGTTGGCAATCTGGCAACAAATTCCAGAAGTAACATGGTGTTTTGGTGCTTGCAAGCGGAAAGAGATGGCTTGCTATCGCTGAACGAAACGTTAACTGCTTCATGATGTTTCAAAAAACTATGTCCCAGTTAAAGATCCGCATACGAATGTGGACGAACAGAGAATTTGAAGTTATTGAATGAATCGTTCTTTAGGCCCATGTTGATGAGGTACTGAGCTTTCGTATGAATAACTAGTATCGTGGATACCATCATGATTGCACTGGATGATTGAAAAGTTCAAGTGTAACTTTCACTGCTGTTAGGGTTATCCCATTCACAGTGATTTTCCTCAGTGCCTCGGAGGGGAAAGCCGGGCGCTAGCAGAGACTGGTTGTCAGTGCTGCGGTTGACCGTTTCTCTTGGAATAATCTGTTTATTCGTTTGAATTGTCCATTCCTCCTACAGTTAGTGCAAACTGCGTACTCAGCATTTCGCTTTGACAGAGGCTAATATATTCTCAGGTACTCTGTTGCTTTCGTTGCGATTGAAAGTGTTCTACCATTGGTTTGTGTGAACCCGAGGAACGCAACTGAATACAACATTGATTTCATCTGGAAAGCATTAGACCTGTACCGTTTCAAGTGATCTAGCTAGTTCTAGGGCAAGCTGTAGATCCAAATATTTGCTTTTAAGATATCGTTTTTTTAAACTTTGGATGTTTGACTAACCAACTACCTGTCAGTCATACTATTTTTACAGTAGGTTGCAGCAAACCATGACTGGACACATTATTCAAACCTGTTTTCAGTACTTCCGGATCACATTGACTTGAAATCATTTCACAAAACTGGCGTTCTCAACCCAACCTGGTTTGAAAACCAACCCCCTTTTAATTGTTTGGAGTCTATTTTTATTTTTTTCTCGCGTTTTGTTTCCAGGTGATCCTCTCCTATTTGATTTTAATTTCCTATTCGGCACTAGTACGTCTAAGTATCTGGGGTGACCACAGATAGGTATCTAAGATGGGTCTTTCACATTGGCTACTGTACGTGAATCCTCCAAAATCTCCTATACAATGCGTGAAATTCAGTAGTTTTAAATTCCTCGATCGGTCACTTCCGAGATCATCTTTCAATGTCTTCTTCCTCTGAAGCTACAATTATCTTGCGCAATTGTTCAAGTCTTCTACAGCAGAACTTTAGAACAGCCGTGAGTTGTTTCCTTCCTCTCCGCTGATTTTTTTGTGATATATTTAGCCCAGCCCCCTGAAAGTGACTATATACCCTATTGTTTCCTTATTTGCCTAATTGTTTTTATAAAATTTGAATTTTCAGATTTTGGTGCCGGAAAAGCCTCGTACCACAACACCGACCATTTTCCATCCGGATTGGTCCATTTCTTCATGACTCTCTACTCTCAAGCTAATCTCTATGTTANATGTTATCTCTAGCCGGTCCCAAAACGGTGTATAAACAGACGAGTTGTCCGCAGTCTTCGCCTTTTTGATCGAGCCAAATACACAACCTCGTCTGAAGGTCTGTCTTCCATCTTCTCTCTGGTCGAGTTATAGTATCGTATTACTCTTGCAGGGCGTTCTTCCAGTTCCCTTGAGAATTGCGCTGGGTACCGCAGTCGGGCGTAGTCGTGTACTGTTCACTCGGTCTCTGGGTCATTGCGGTTCCTGTTCGTGACCAGTACTACCGCACGTATCGTTTNCAGTAGTTTGGTAAAACAGTTAATTCATATTTAACCCAAACAGTTGCTTGTGTGTAGTGGTATGGGATCATTGCTATTGATTTGAACTGCCTATCCTTTCATCCGCACGGACAATCTTCAGTTCATTCAGTAAGTCGTACGTTTAGAAGCAGCAGTCGAGTTTCACTCTTTATAGACTTCATCAGGAGTGTTCACCCACCGTCTCGTCAGGGTTCTGAACTCAGACACATCGCATGGAAGATTTTTGTTATCAGTGTGCCACAGCTCACACCAGAACTGAACCGAATTGCCAATTAATATTTGTTCAGGTGTTGTTGTCTTCAGTGATAGTTAATAAGTTCATGTTCTGGCCCGACAGAAACGACGAGAGACAGTTGAACATCTGTTAACACCAATCGAATGCCTCCCCCTACTGGAGTTTATTGTTTCCAACTGAATGATTAAATGGATGAACAGGGGTTTTTAATCCAGGTGAAGGTCGAAAGATTGTTAATCCAAAACAATCTGGATTTTTGTTTAGCTTTGGCCCACAAGTTACTCCAAGACTCCACAAATCCAGCTCACGATGTCTTGCCACTTTTCACGTGCATTGACTCACCCACTCAGAATTGTTGCACCGTTGTGCCGCGAAAACCTTTACTAGCTAGGGTTCTCGAGAGTCTCAAAACACCA